TTCTTCTCTAATAGCTTCCCTATCTTCACCATAACTATTCTGCTTACACGAAGCACTCAAATATTTAGAGACCAGCAATCGAGGATTCTCTTCCCAGTTATACCGTCAAGTCCCACAGCAAGCTTGCAAAACTGAGCAATTTCTGGGTCCTCCCCAGGCTCCCAACTTCTGATGTTCGTGGTCCCCTGTGCACCTGGGACTTGACCAGTTCCTCAGGTGACTCTCGACTAAAATTGAGAACCAGTGATCTAAATGAATCCCTAGGGAGAGAATTGTACCACCGAAGATCAAACAGAAGCAACCTAACACGGAATAGGGGAAAAATGTTAATAGAGCGTACTCTAAAAACAGAACTGGGAGCGTCTATTTGGATTAGATACTTGCGGGAATAGCTCCCTCCCACGACTTACAGGAAGCTGGAAATCCCTTCACCTCCTTCGGAAGAGGACGTCTAAATTTCTGCGGGTTGTTGCCCTTGGAAAAATCCTCCCCACTGCTTTAAAGTGTTATGGAACATCCTCATCTTTGGTGTGTTTCCCTCACACCCTGGGAGTTCAGATGCAGGGAGGAGGTCTAATGCTTGATCACGTGAGGCAGAAACAGCCATGTCCCATGGAAGTCACTGGAATGCCGAGGCCTTCCTCCACTCTTTTAAAGAACCAAAGCCATGCAAGGGCCATTTTAGCTAACAGTGGAAATAGAATATCCGCCTCTTTTTTTTTTTTTTTTTAAAGAAGAAAAACATACTGTCAGGGTGGAAGCCGTTTTGATTTCAGGAAAATCAAGGAGGGGCAGGGGAAATGCTTCAGTCAGAAACGTGTTGGGCATGCAAGCATGAAGACCTGAGTTCAGGTCCCCGTGGTGCTGATGTGAAGGCAGCCGGATGCCTGGTGCTTGCAGACCCTCCAGTCTAGCCAGGCAATGAGCTCCAGGCTCAGTGAGAGACCTGACTCCAAAGATAAGGGCCAGAGTCAGCAGGTTGCCCCAGCGCGTAAAAGCATTTCTCACCAAGACGACTGCTTGAATTTGCTTCCCAGGGCCCACTCGACCTCCACACATGCACCGTGGCACATGCAACCCCCCCCCTAAAATAAATAAATAAATAATAAGATGCAGAAGTGATTAAGGAAGACACCCGGGTATGCACAGCCTTCAAATGGGCACACGTGCGTGCAAATGCAAGGAATCGAGTGGAAGGTGTGCGTCCCAGGTGCAGCCGATTACAAGTTTGGAAATGAAGGTCCGGCTAGATTCAGGCTTCATTTCAAATCACGGCAAAAAAATCAAATGCTCTGGCCTGTTCCTGAACTCCAAGTTCCAGGCAGACATGATCACACAAGTATAGTGATTTGTCTTTTAAAATGGAAATTATAACCTCATGCTTGTGTGGCTGAACATGATTCAGGTTACATAAGCCGTAACACATGGCCCCCGGAGGACCACGGCTGGCAGAGGTTCAGTGACTGGACCTACAGTTCCTTGTTTGCCCGTTGGAGCGTTTCTTCCCCATCTGAAGGAAAGGGTCCTGTTTTCCCATTAACATCTCAGAGCAGTTCCTGGCACCAAAAATAGCCGCGCTTGTTTGTGTTTCTTCTACAGCAGTTAACACGGATCTTGGTCTTGGAGCCTAAATGGGTTGACCAGCTTGGCTTTGACGATCCGGCAGTGATGGAGAAAGTTTAGCCATTTATGGCGGTCACTCAACCTGAGCTGAAGGCAGAGTCAGGGACACTGAGCTTTCCGGGTACTCCAGGCAGCCCCAGCTCCTGCTTCAGCGGATGTGGGGTGGCTTTTCAAGTCTTGAGCAGCCCTTCCCCCATTTAACCCAGGTGGGTGAACTGCTCATCTTAACAAGTGGAAATTCACCCCCACCGCGCCCCCCCCATCTGTCTGTCTGTCTGTTTTAGATTTGTCCTATTAGATTGGAACTCTTTTTTCTTTTTTTGAGAATTATGTACACATGCACTGTTGGATCGGGATTGACGAGATTTACACGTACACTGTTCGACTGGAATTGATGCAGGCGACTTGGAAGAAAAAGAGAACAGGCAGACATCTCCAAAGCAGAATTGTTCTTGTAATCAGAACAGCAGAAGGGCCATCTCTGCAAAAGTGGAGGCTGCCCACGTGCCACAGGGGTCTTGGGGTTCTACAGAACCGGAAGGGGGAACTTTGGGGATGGAAGAGTCCATCTGCAGGTCAGTTCCCCCCACAGTCTGGAAGTGGTAGGTCCCAGCTCGTCAGAAGCTTCCACGGGGGGGGGGGGGGGGGGGGGGGGGGGGGGGGGTCATCTGTTAAGTCAACTTTCCTGAGAAAACTTTCCAAAGCAGCTCATCCAGCCCAGGTAATTAACCCTTTGTATACAGTGTCCTTTGATCCAACTCACCTCTCCAAATCCTCTCAGATCTGCCCCCCACATCCGCATCCCCACATCTCCTCCTCCTCCGTAACTCCCCTCTCTGTGTGTGATACAGATGTCCCATTTACAGCTGAACACCCTGCAGACACATGCTCTGCACCTTGACTCATTGCGGGTTTCTCTGTGTTAAACACTATGCACAGCCGAAAGAATCTCCTCTGACAAGGACTGAGAGCCGCGCTGATCTCTGAGTGTGGCAATGAATATTTAGAAGGCAGCTTGGCGCCATGTTCATTAAGCCTGGTAATAACATCAGGGCCTCCCCTAGGGCCACAGATTGCTGGCCAGGTTCATAGTATTAGACATGACTTTCCTTCTGTGGAGTGGGTCTTAAATCCAACAAAAGAGCAGCTGGTTACCCCTTTAACGCTTACGCCACTGTTGAACGCATCTTGGCATGCTGGTCGTTATTATAGCTTGCAAGGTTTGTAGCTGGGTAAGACTGTTGATGACTCCCCCACCCCCCC